CTTATAAAGACGACTGAGAAGATTGGACACAAATGCCCCCCCCCCCCAAAAAAAAAAAAAAAAAAATCTAATCATATTTTGCAGAGTACAAGCTGCAAGTAGCGGAATCTGCAGCCGAAAACGGTAATCGAGCAGCAGAAAGAAAGTTTGGAGTGAGCGAGAAACTGAAAACCATCCTGGCGGAATTCAGAAACGCAGGAATAATTCTAACTACAACTGATGCTGAGTCTGACGAAGCAGAAGAGGAAGTGGCGCTCCGTTTACCTCAGGAGGTCACGGAGTTGCTCAAAAGTGACACCGAGGATGAAGAATTCAATGGATTTAGTGATTTGGAGTGAGATGGAGAGTTTGGTAAACTTGTTCTGTTCTATTGTTTATGTTATAGTTTATCTGAAGAACTGTTCATATGTGACGTTAACAGTCTGTCATTCTCTGTTCTATTGTTTTTACTATAACTTGCCTTTCAAGATGAAATGTCTGTTCCTGGTCTCTGATTTTATAAAATAAATTTCCCCGAAAAAGTGTGACTTATATTCCGATGTGACTTATACATGCTTTTTCTTCTTCATTACGCATTGTTTGGTTGGTGCGACTTAACTTCCAAAGCGACTTATAATCTATAAATATGGTATACATGCATTCAAGCAATAAGATGTTTTTATTGCTTGAAAAATACCTTGAAATATGCATTATTTCACTTTCCAAAGATCAGATCTGTGGCAAAAGCAGGCAAAGCACTTACACTATTTGAGGGCTCATGTGTCGCTAAGGAGTTGTGTTTTGATTAATTTACACATGTTTAACCACACACAAACCCGGCTTATTTAGGCTGAGTTCTTCTCTCAAACAGAAAACACAGAAACACAGAAACTCCATACACATTCACTAGAATCATTTGGCTAATTTCAAATCTGGAATTGCCAGTCTCCACTGAAGTAAAAGTAAAAGACATCTGTTAAATTTAAAATTACCATTACATGACTATGCTGAGACTGACAGCAGCAATTGCAGAGAAAGGGGCAATTTCTTAAATACAAAATGAATTTGACCCAGAATCAATTGAGCTGAAACACGCCCATGCTCACTTCCTATTTGAAATGCAGTTAGCAATGTCCCTTTATGGTTCAAACTAAAACACGGTTAGAAAGACCCATGACAGGAAAAGTCAGCTATTCCACCATTGTCATATTCTTATGAAACAGTATTTTAAGTTTTGAAAATCTGAAAATGTTTGCAAATGTTTGCCTGCTGTTTAAGATCATTTATGATACTGCTGCTCCTCCACTAAAACAGTTTGTTTCTCTGAGCTCTGAAACCACCTCCCGAACCCTTGTATACATCCAGTGCAAGATCCCCAAACGCAGGACGGCATTTGGAACCTCAGCCTTTTCATGCGCGGCCGTCCGTCAGTGGAACATGTCACCAACAGAGCTGATCACATGTACAAACTACTGCACCTTCTCACGCCTGGTGAAACAGTGGTAAGCCTGATTCATTCGCTGGTTTCACTTTGTGGAAACCGTTTGACCTCGCAACATTAGGATTTGTTCACTCAGCAGTAGACGGCTACATTTTTTATTTAACCAATCGCTGCTATTTGGTCATGACGTATGTAATGCACCAAATCCCGTAGGAAGAAGGACAATAACTAGTGATGGGCAAATGAGACGGAGCTCTGAAGCACGTCTCGTTCTTTCTGAAACAAATTTCTGAATTTCTTTCTGAAGCACTGCCTCTGAGCTTGTCTTGCAGCAGCCGCTCACGTGACCGAAGTGTCGATCCCTCCCCCTACTGCTTTGCTCTTCGCGTCCATCGCTTCAGTGTATCGAAGTGTTTCATTGGCTCAGCGAATGTTCCGCTCTGCGATTGGTTCAGCGCACTTCCGTGGTTTGACAAGCGCTAAACTGCTACAATATAAAAGATGCACCAATATTTCTTAAAAATGTTGGATAGTGAGGAGTATTGTGTGATGTTAGTGGTGATTTTGGTGACTTTTTTGGCATTTGTTTCATTTTCGATGGCATCTACAAGTGGAAAAAAGCGATCCATGGTTTGGGATCACTTTGATCTAATTCCACCTAACAAGGTCACCTATTGTCTTATTTACAGCTGCTGTTTATGTTGCTCTTTACATATTATTTTAAATCATCATTATTATTGTTGTTGTTAGGTACGGTGTCGCTCTGCACACAAGTATTGTCTTACACTAACGATACTTCATCGATGCTGAGACACCTGCGTGCCAATGGTTAAATTTGTCCACTAGAGGTCAGTGTTTCTCCAAGACCTCAGACACGTCGAACCATTTGAGACAATATTGCGACTGAGGTGTCAATGCTTCACGAGGCTCCATTCGCCCATCATTAGCAATAATGTCTTTCCCCTTGATAAAATTTACCAAGCATTCTCTCTGTTGCAGCTTTAAATCCTCGATCTCGGGAATCGTTGCCAACACAGAATGCATGGCTTCGTCTACATCGATCTCGACCGCTCTCGTGCACGGTCTACAACTTCCTGCGTTCTTGCAAACCACCTAGTGTATTCCGATTCCTGACCTAGTCACTGGAGAGAAATGAAATTGAGCGGAGGCACTAGGTCACTTGGCTAAAACAGTGGCTCCTTTCAAACCAAACCTGCACCCATAATGTGGACTGATGAGGGTCTGGAGAGAGTCTGATGTTCTGGAGTGAATGAATTGAATGATGTTTTTGATAAGGATGATGATTTTAAGGAGCTGAGAGAACTGGATGTGCATGATGATACAGAAATGGTTAATGTATATAGTGCACTGTCCCTGTCTCATTAAATAAATAAACTAAACTAAACCAGGTACAGGTCCATTAGCAAATAAAGATAAGGCAGATTTTTTTTTTTTTTTGTTTCTATTTCCTTTAAAAACAGTGACTCTCCTATAGAGTTATATAGACCCATGCCCTTCATCTGTAATTGTTAACTCAAATAGCGTGTCTTGAATGCAACCTAATTAGCGGGTGAAAAGACATCCCATATTACCATACCACTTCACTTTTTTCTGTGTTATCTGAAGCAAGCCACTGAAAACTTTAGCAATATGAGAAACATCGAAAGAGCTACGGTTTTGAAGGACATGTCTGTTATTAAAGGGAGTGTACAGAACAAGTGGCGGTCAATAGATGCCAGTATTATTAGGCTCGAAATGGGCAGGCCTGGAGTGCGGTTTTAGTGACTCCTAGTGGCCACAAGTGTAATGACAGTAAACAGGCAATTCAACAAGTTAGAGAATTTAATGTAATGCAGTCACAATTGTTTTTGTCTTCCACAATGAAAAATAAATAAATAAATAATAATTATTTAAAAAAATATATAAATAAAATAAAATAAAATTAAATTAAATCATAATACTGATATTTTTGTGCTTTATTAGCAGAAGGTCTGTAGCTCTAAATGAAGAAAATTACAAAAAAATATTTAAATGCCGATAGTACTTTCTAGTAATATGTTATCAGAGACTGTAGGTTAAAATAGATATCAAAAGTACTTGATTTTTTTTTCTTTACAATGATACAATGTTAAACTGTAATATTTGCTGTGTTAAAAAGACTACACTTTAGTTTAATCTGTGAAATATTGCACATTTTCTACAATACTTTTTTCTCTTTTCTTTGCCAGTTGTTGCAGCAGTGCTAGAATTAGTTTTATTTTAATTATTTTTGCTTTCAACATTGTCATATCTGAAATAAAACATGCAGTCTATGAAACAACAATCTTCTAACTATGTAATTCTGATTACATTTCTAATTCAAAACACGGAGAAGAGTCACTTTTAAGCAGGTTGCCCCAGCTGCATTGAAGGATGGGTCAAATGCAGAGGGCAAATTTTGCTCCCAGAACCAAAAAAACCCCCAAAACAAAACAAAAAAAACTATCTGCACCTTAACCCATCCATATGTGTTTCTGTAAACACCATATGTGATGTCTTATGCTTTGCTCTCCATATAACAAGCTCCAGCCTTATTCACTGTTTTGCTCCGAAGTGTCCCTCCCCCTTCCTCCCCCCTTCCCTCCATCTATGCCTGGTAAATGGCGCCCCCTACTGACCCACTCGTTGCTAGTATAAAAAGTCATAAAAAGTGCACATGTGCTTTGCTACGTTGGTTTTGAGGTAGTAATAACTTTTATATTCCTTTCAACAAAACTAAAATGCTTACATTAACTCATTTTTCGATTATTATTACCAACTATACTCCACTTATATTACATAACCCTGCTAAAACTCTACTTTATGATGATAATAAATCAGTAATTCATCACTTTATGATTTAATATTTGTTTATTTTTTACCACAAGACCCAAACAAAAGTCCATATGTGACACTTTACCTGTCTTGATCCACAGTCCACAGTCAATCTTAAGTTTCTGCAACACATTTTAACTAAAATTTTCAGCAGCCTCCTCATAGAATCATAGAAAGTTCTGACTAAAGTTCTTAAAATGAAACTTCACGAGTAGCCTGTCAAGTTTCTAAACCTAAATCTGATTATTATCGATATTATAATTCAAGTTAAACTATGGAAACATGCATTTTGTTGATGTCGCAACAATCAAATGTAACTACTGTAATTATCAGTGCCACTATAATTGTGACTAATGTTTATTATTTTATTTATTTATTTGGTACCACTGATTGCTACAACTTAATAAAACACGTAATTAATCATTAACAAAAAGCTAGACCTTTATCAACACAGCCTGCAACCAATCTCTACCGATTATTCTTCTATAAAGCCTGCTTAAACTGCACAACACAATAATATCTGCTCACTTATTCCAGTAATACTTTGTTTAAATCACAATTGTTATGATAGTTATGAAGTAGCAGTAGTCTATAGTAGTAGTAGCATTCCAACTACTGACTTTAATTCAATAAAACTCTCGGTTTAAGAGCATCCATTGCGAAATAGTGGAGCACCGTAGATGTGAATGAACGTGTGGTGGCTCGACGCATGCGCACGGCCGCCGGAGCGAGCCAGCCAGGGCGGTGATCGGAGTGGGCTCTCTCTCCGCGTCTCTCGGCACAGTCTGTGGGAAAAACCCGAGCGGCGGAGGGGGAGGAGGCGGTTACACGGACTCGCTCTCCCCGGTCCAGCGGCACCAGCGGCGGACGGCACGGTGCGCACGAAACCCCGGCCTCCTCCGTCATTACGCGGAGCGAAAAAACGCACCCGAAGCGGCGGTGCGAAGCGGTAGAGGAAGCGACGAAGAGAAGCAGCATACGGATGTGCCTCCGAAAACGCAACGGATACCGCCCTCCGGACCTTCTTCATGCCGAAATTGTGAGTGTAAATTTGGGGTTTGGAGGGGGGTGGGGGGGTTGCATAGCGCACCGGGGGCACCCAACACCTCAGCGGTCTCCGGGGGGGGGGGGGGGAAGGGGGGTGGCCGTGGCCGTGGCTCGGGCTCCAGGCAGCGGCAGGGCTTTTCCCTTCGCTCCGGTGTTAAGGAAAAGGTCGGTCTCTCCGCGATATACCTCCTCCCTCCCTCCCCCCTCCCACTACCTTCCCCCTCCTCCGCCCCCTCCTCCTCTCCTACCTCCTCGATCCCTCGTTTCCTTTCCTTCAGTAGCACCTTCACTCCTCCTCAGCAGCGTAACCACGGACGTAGCCGCGTGCACATACGTCTCTCGTTTAAGTTTAGTTCAGTAAGGAAATTAGTTCAGTCAGTCCTGGTTTTGCTCATTTAGTCCTGGTTTGGTTCTTGGTTGGACCTAGTTTATTCCTGGTTTAGTTCAATACAGAGTTTACCCAGTACTTTAGTCCTAATAGTTCTTGGTTTAGTCTTGGTTTAGGCCAGATTAGTCCTGGGTTTGACCTGATTTAGATCTGGTTTAGCTCATTTAGTCCTGGTTTGGTTCTTGGTCGGACCTAGTTTATTCCTGGTTTAGTTCTGGCCCAGTTCAATACAGAATTTACTAGTACCTTAGTCCTAACAGTTCTTGGTTTAGTCTTGATTTAGACCAGATTAGTCTTGGGTTTGACCTGATTTAAGCCTGGTTTAGCTCATTTAGTCCTGGTTTGGTTCTCAGTTGGACCTAGTTTATCCCTGGTTTAGTTCAATACAGAATTTACTAGTACTTTAATCCTAACAGTTCTTGGTTTAGTCCTGGTTTAGGCCAGATTAGTTTTGGGTTTGACCTGATTTAGTCTTGGTTTAGCTCATTTAGTCCTGGTTTAGCTCATTTAGTCCTGGTTTGGTTCTCGGTTGGACCTAGTTTATTCCTGGTTTAGTTCAATACACATTCACATTTACCTACTACTTTAGTCCTAACAGTTCTTGGTTTAGTCTTGATTTAAGATTAGTCTTGGGTTCGACCTGATTTAGTCTTGGTTTAGCTCATTTAGTCCTGGTTTTGCTCATTTAGTCCTGGTTTGGTTCGTGGTTGGACCTAGTTTATTCCTGGTTTAGTTCAATACAGAATTTACCTTGTACCTTAGTCCTAACAGTTCTTGGTTAAGTCCTGGTTTAGGCCAGATTAGTCTTGGGTTCGACCTGATTTAGTCCAGATTTAGATCTACTTTCTTCTTCTTAGTCCTGGACTGGTTTAAACCTGAAACCTGACAAATATTAAGCAGTGTATGAAATCATTTCTTTTATACACTTCGAAATTATATCTGAGTTTTTTTGTTTAGTTTAGTTTTGTTGTTTTTCCCCATAGGAACTGCAATAATACCATTTTAATTTTCGTTTGTGGGTCCATCACCTTCTTGTTGCTATGGATATGTCATTTCTCTGCTTTGAATGCTCCACAGTATGGCTTTATTCAACTCTACTTTACTTTCATTCAATTACAGGTGGTTTTATATCTTAAAAATACCTAGAAAAACGGACATTCTGACTGTGAGCGGGGTCGCCTCTCCACAGATCTGACCTGTAACTTGGCCTGGTTTGGTCTCCAGGAAGATAGAAAGGTTTAAAGCCACAGTGTGAAACATTTCTGACTTGGGGTGTGCAAAAATACTGAAATATTGATATATCTTATCGTTTAAGTATCAATATCATGGGCTGCTGTATCAATATATCACCAAGAGTATTTTTTGGTATATTTTACTAAATTATTTTGTTACAGACCTACAGTTTTGTTGGTTGTTCAGGGGAAGCAAACTCGTTCATGCGACACATTTGACATTTTCACTATTTTGATTATTTAAATGTTTGTGTTTCATATGAACTTTGCAGAAGACTTTTAGTATCACAATCGTGATTTAGCCTTTATTTTTTATTGAACCGTATCGAATCGAATTGAAATGTATTATATCGAACCGAAAGCTCACTGTATCAAGATATGTATCGTATCGTGGCCTGAGTATTGAGATATGTATCGTATCGGCAACTTCTTAATGATACTCAACCCTATTTCTGTCAAAGCAATAACATCTCCATGGAGAAAAGCAGGTTGCGGACCCTCCACCAGAAAAGTTACACAATGCACCTTTAATTGAGTGCACAGATTAGAAGAGCAATAGGTGCCAATATCACAACCCTGAAAGGAAGTAACCTACACTAAAATATATCTTGATTTCATAGCAAAAAAAAAAAAGTATTCTATGTGAGAATCAGTGTATGAAGTAATAGTGGGACATTCTCAAAATAAACAGAACAAGGGGCAGAATTCTAAATGGTCTTGCAGAAAACTATAAGAGAGAAAGGTGGTCAGAGGTTCAGTTGGCATGCATGTTCTCCCTGTGTCTGGTGGAGTTTCTACCAAGTTTACTTAATCAACTTAAAGAGCCCATATATTTAATGATCTATGTTATAATGTTGTTTCCTCATCACAAACAAGCCTGAAGTTGTCAAACAAAACAGGACTCCAGGCACTCCAAAATAGTAAAAAATCACACGAGGAAAAATATAGTAAAAGGCCTTTATTTAAATGGCCAAAGCCAACATGTTTCGACCTGAAGTTTAACATGTTTAACACTAGGGATGTAACAATAACTGAAATATTGTGATATCGTATCGTCAAAGTTCTCACAATAATATCGTGGACCATCACAATATATTGAATTACAAGTCTCTTTGCTTAAATTAAGAGTTATGGTGCAGCAATAGCTAAAAAAGACAGAGGGAACTACATAGACCATGATCCTTTGCTCCATTTCACCATAGACTACATCAGGGGTGTCCAAACTTTTTTCATCAAGGGCCACATATCTAAACACAGATGAAGCAGAGGGCTGATTGAGGCTGTAGACTGATGCTCAGTACAGGGAATAATTGAAATGTGTGCATGTTTAACACATTAGAATGAGGCATCAGTCTTTATTCATGCTAAGATCCTTAAAATCACACACTAAATATGAAATATTGGCTTTATCAAGGTAGATTTTCAAAAAACTTGCAGTAAAAAATTATTTTTCAGTTGCTGGAATGTAATTTGGGCCAATTCACCTGGAAGTCTGAGGGCCAAGAAAAACTTGTCTGAGGGCCGCATTTGGTCCCCGGGCCATAGTTTGGACATGCCTGGACTACATGAAGAAATAACAGTTCTAAGCCTTAGTTCTTTGGATTAAGTCTTGTCAAGGACTTTGTTAAGACATTTTAAGAGGAAAAGTTGCATAAGGGATATTGGAGTAAGGAGTATAAAGGGATATTGTTACTTTCCTAATCATGAGCCTCCCCCATCATATCGTGAGCTTTCCCACGATATCGCAATAAATATTGTACCGTGAGGTTCACACCGTGACAATATCGTATCGTGAGACTTGGATATCGTTACAACTCTAATTAACACACAAATTCTGTATATTTTGGCTGAGTTCGTCTCTCAAACAGAAAACACTTCCACCTTGTGATGTCATGTGGTAAGTGCTCCACTGTATTTTTAAACTCTATGCATCTTCAATAGAAACATTTCGATAATTTCAGCCCCTGAAATACATCACATCAAAATCTTTTTCTGAAACTTTATAAATATTTTGTCTGTCTTTTGCGTTTAAATGCTTGGACTTATGAATATTAGGCAAGGCAAGTTTATTTGCATAGCACAATTCATACACAAAGTAATTCAAAGTGCTTTACAGGATAAGAAATACATTAAAACCACAATAAAAACAAATCAAAACATAAATAATTATCATAAAATAAAATAAAAATAGAAGAGTGAGATCTGTGGACACCTTTGAACTCTTAATATTAATTTTTTTTTTTTTTTTCGAAAAGTCTGAATGGAAAATTGACTTCTGGAACTAGAGCGAATGGTCAGTGCTGAGCTCCCATTGCTTTGTCTTGAATGTTCCACAGTATGGCTTTAAATATATCTGTCTCCATGGCGATACGCAGATGGCACCACCAGGCCCGATCTGGAGCAGGAGCCACACTTAAAGTAAAATTCATGTTTTTGGACACGTTTCTTGCACAATAAATAACGTACAATTGATGAATATATCCTAAATAGATCACTTTAATGCCATACTGTTGAATATTCTAGGCATAGCAACAACGTCTCCATGGTGACAAGCAGGTGGCAGATCCGGTATCAAAAATAAAAGTGACATATTACACCTTTAAACACAAAAAGAATATTCAAATTTCTTGCTGCAAAGTCTGAACTCTGCTTCAAACCACATGCTTTTACTAAAATTAAAATTAAAATAAACTGCGCAGGCCAGCTTTAGTATTTATTATTTTTTATTTGTACTTAAACTGGCTTATCAATGCGCCTATCTCCACTAAACCATAACATATCCTTTCTCAGTATTACTTGAGTGCGAAAATCATGTTGATTATAACCATATCCTGTGTCTTACCAAAAGGATATGACGTTTTAACAGTAAACTCTTATCTTTGTTACATCAGTAGTTCAAAGACGGTTATTCGTTCTAATGATTCAGCTTTCTCACCTTCTCTATCTGGACTGGAAGGTCAAAAGTGTCAATTATAAATGTTTTGGTAATAGAATGAAATAAATTGTGTTTCAACAAGTTAGTCATTTTTTTGTTCAGTTTATTCACAAGTTAAAGGTAGAGATGGATATTGTTAAAGATTTATTGACACTGCTGCTCTCATCGATACTTAAAAATACAGACTGAATGACTTTTAAAATGTATTTTGTTTAATGAGAGACATAAAACTTATTTTATCTAGTCGGAAACGTAGATAGATGAGAATTATGCGGAAGCCTGTGACTATTTCCCTGTCATCGAGTTCAACTATCAAAAGAACAATGAACTATTCTGATATTTCCTTAGTAACTCTGGATGTTGTTGTCTCTGGTCGAAGGCAGTCACAGCTGCTTCAGTCTGTTGTGTGGAGTTGTGACTCTAATGTTTGAGTGTTT